TGCAGTTATAGCTGTTATAATCTTTTGATGTATCTGATATGAAGTGGTAGTTGTCTCAACTTTTGTCTCACTTGATGTGAATTGAAACAGCAGGTGTCTATGCTTCCTGTCGTGGTGGACGGCCTTGGTACCCAGCTTCTGCAGCGGCGCCATCTTTATGCTGGTACAATGTCAAAGTTGAGAATGCTTATGATTTGTCGAATGGCTAAGCCTGAAGAGGTTCTGATAGTTGAAGATGAAAATGGGAATATAGTTCGTGAAACTATGAAGGACAATGATGTTCTTGTTCAGTATAAGGTAACTTTTATTTGAGATGTGGACTACTCTATTGAGTTCCAAAAATATGTTTGCTGATGGCTTTCTTTTTTGAAACCTAGTTGCAACTCACTAGGGTTTAATCCTTCACTACAAGTAAAACACATCCTGATTATGGCTTTCTGTACATAATAATTTTGGTTAAAGAGAGCTGTATATATATTGCAAAAAGAGAAAAACGAGGGGACTTTATATGGGCAATGTAAAATGCATCCAGCAAAAACACAGAAATTTTACATCCATTGATCACCAAGGTGTTTGAATGTTTAGAAGTTTATGTTATATTGATCAATCAACTGAAGCTTTAATCTCAACACCCTAATTTTAGACATTTTTGAATACCATTCTTTCACAAAATAATTGTTTTTTCGGGTTCAATGTTGCAGATCATGCGGGAGACGTTGATTTATCTATCACACCTTGATCATGAGGATACTGAAAAGCAAGTACGAGTTTAGAAAAACTTTTCTGATTTTGTGTTTCTCCATAGGACATAAGTAAATAAATGATGATTTGTGGCGGGTCTTGATTTTGCTTATGTTGATAGTTTGAGGACCTATTCTCATATTAGGATATGCTTATTGATGAAAAGAAAATCTTATTCATCTCTGGTGACTTGCATTATCTTTGTTTCCCCAATACTATTGCAAGCTGGTCAGTTATTAACTAATCTAGTCTCTCTTGAATCTTGTTTGTTTTCTCGACTATTGTTCCTCTAATAGAAGAATGTCTGAGACCTCTATGTAGAGGAGAGGAAAAATAAACTACATGCTATTAATAACTAGATTAGAAGAATGTTCATTTTCCTTGTTTTCCTGTCTATTATTTTGTCTATAAGAACTTATCAATGGTGATTTTCATGGATGGTCATTATTGTTCAGTTCAAGTTACAACTTCTTGTTGAGATTTTCCTTTTTCCATTCTCTGAGCTCAGATGCTGAAGAAATTAAGTAAACAACTAAGTGGTGAGGATTGGACATGGAACAATCTGAACACATTATGCTGGGCAATAGGATCCATTTCTGGTTCCATGATGGAAGAACAGGTAACTTTTCCTTTTGATACATGCATAGTTGACTGACACATCTTATTCCGCAAGAAACAGAATAGAAAAGTGCTTTGAATATTCATTACTACAAGCTGGATTTTATATTCTTATGGCATATGATGATCTGTAAATGGGCTTTCCTTGTTGAATTCTTCTTAGTTAATTCATTAGAAAAAAAACTAATAAGAGCATGTTAATTTTTTTAGGTTTGCATTATCAATTTGCATAACAGGTCTAATTTAGTTTGATGGAGAGAGGGGAATGGGGGTTCAAAATTTTTTCTTATTTGTGTTTTTTTGTAATTATCAACTTCTTTTTCGAGATTTTGCATTCTCATTTATATTTTTATAAGTTCAGTTTAGTTGAAAATATTGCCTTTCTTGTATGGATGGGTTACTTTGTTGACTTTGATACTACATCCATAACCTGTGGACTTAAACCACCTACTGGCATTTGGTTCTAAGTTGGATGTTTATATGATTTTAGGGCCCTTGGGCTGTGAGCCCAGTTAGTGTGTGCGGCCTGACTGTTGCTTCAGCAAGAGTTTGTTGGGGCTGGTAGGCCATGGTTTAACAACCATGTGCAAGGCTATACTGGGTCCACATGTGGGGTGTATCAATTGAGAAAAATCCATCATATGTGAGTTAAGAGGGGAAAGCAGGGTAAACCTGGGGACTTAAATACAGTGTGGACTACTTCACCCATTGCCAATGGGTTTTTTGTTGGATGTCTCATGCTAGTCTTTTCTAGTTAATAATTATCCTATTAGGCCACTGCAGGTGAGCTGGTTATCCTTTCTCATCTTTGTACTTTCCATTTGCATGTTTTCTTATTAGGAAAAAAGGTTGTTCTAACATATTATGATGTGTTACAAACTTGTATGGTTATTATGATATGCAATGATGATAGCTTTTTGTTTCTTACATTATTTACAATGATTTTTTTCTACATTTTGGTTTCATGGCAGGAGAACAGGTTTCTGGTGATGGTCATTCGTGATTTATTAAATCTATGTGAGATCACTAAAGGAAAAGATAACAAAGCTGTTATCGCAAGTAACATTATGTAAGAATTAATGATTTAAAAGTATTTCTTGAACATCTTGCTTGAGTTCCCTCTGTGCCCTAGATATGGTAGAGAATTTTGCAATCTGTTTTGATCTATCTGCTGTTCTACCCCCCCAACCCCTCTTTTTCTTTATGGGTATATTGTGGATAACCTTGCATTCTTGGATCTTGTTGTTGATAACTGGGGAGTTTGTAACTTCATTGTGGCTATTTTTTGTGCTTTAAATGCTTAGTTTTAACTTCATTTTCATTGGTGGTTTTGTTGGTAGGTATGTTGTTGGACAATATCCAAGATTCTTAAGAGCCCATTGGAAGTTTCTGAAAACAGTTGTCAATAAGCTGTTTGAGTTCATGCATGAAACCCATCCTGGAGTTCAGGTTAGTAATGGGAAAGGGAAATAGATTCTTTTTTTTTTCTCCTTCAATTTAGTTAAAATTATTGAGAGCCTTTTGCTTTGTTATTTATTTTCTTTTTTAAACAGCTGTGTTATTTATTATTTCTTCTTTTTTTCTTTTAATGTTTGCATTTATAGGAAATTATCATTGTTCTAGGAAACTTGTATACTTTACACTTGTTACAAAACTTGTACAGCTTCTAATATCATGTTCCTTTCTATTTGTGAAAATGTTCTTAGCTGTATATAAAAGAGGGCACATCTACATGCATCACAGTTACATCATGAATCCGATCTTTTTCTTTGGAAGGTTTATGCCTTTTAGAACCTTAAAGTCTTCACAGTAGAAGGGAAAACATAGGATTTACAATTTATTATGCTGCTCTTTTTCTGGCTGTTAAATGATACTTCATGCAGTAGTACTTTATTTATTGTCTCATGCTTTTCAGGATATGGCCTGTGACACTTTCTTGAAAATTGTTCAGAAATGCAAGCGGAAATTTGTTATTCTACAGGTATCATTTGCTTTAAGATCTTTCATCTTTATGATTATAATTGCTTATATTTCAGCCTAACCTTTTCACATTGTTTTTATGGCTTGTTTTGTGTTTAGGTTGGAGAAAGTGAACCCTTTGTTTCTGAACTTCTATCAGGCCTTGTGACAACTGTTGCTGATCTTGAGCCTCACCAGATTCATACGTTTTATGAAGCTGTAAGCTTGTATTTTGTGTCTACTAAAATTCTATAATAAATTTCTGCTATTTAATAAATTTCTGCTATTTAATAAATTGCTTCTTTCCCTTCTTCAGGTTGGTCATATGATTAATGCAGAATCTGATCCCCAAAAGAGGGATGAATACTTGCAGAGATTGATGGAACTTCCTAATCGGGTACTGATAGGAAAGAATAGGCCTTTTGTATTTCCAATGTCTTTGTAACATATAGATAACTGAGACATGAGCATTTTAAAGGCATGGTGGTAGCCTGTGTCTATTGATGTTGCTTTTGTGCAGAAATGGGTTGAAATCATTGCGCGGGCACGTCAGAGTGTTGACTTTCTTAAAGACCAGGAAGTAATTAGAACTGTGCTAAATATACTACAGGTATAGGTTTGCACTCACAGGATTTTGGTTGTTTATAAATATTTATTTTATTTATAGTGAGGGCATGCAAAATAGTTCTTTAGTGGGTATTTAGAATGTTAAATTTGCATACTGCAGTAAGTTTTTGACATTTAAATTTTTGCCAAAAGATGAACCATCTTTTCTTTTTCATACTGCATTGTGTTCTTTATTTGTTTTTTTTTTTTTTTTAAATATGTAGAACTCAATTCTATTAAAAAGAGTGCGGACCCCAAATTGTTGACCATTCTGTGCATTTTAAGATGTGGATTTTCAGTTTTCCCGTTATTGCTTGTTTTATTTTATTATTATTATTATTATTATTTTTTTTTTGTCTGTTTCCATCGGTGAGTTGTTTGGTGGCAGATTACTGATTCTCCAAACTCAAGTCATTTTGCTAAAAATCCTATTTTTTGTTTGTTATAGTTATTTAAATTAGTCAGCTCCATGGTGTCTCAGAACATTATTTTCTTTGTTCTTTGCCCTTATTTTTGCTGGTTGCTACACCTGGTAGTTTGGAATGATTAAAAGCATGGAGGTGGGATTGTTTGCTTAGTTGGTTGGTTTCTTTATACCATGGAATTCAACAGTTATGGATTTGATCAGATTTTTCTTAATGGACTGTCTTTGCAGACAAATACCAGTGTGGCTAGTTCCCTTGGGACATACTTTTTATCCCAAATTTCTTTGATCTTTCTGGATATGCTTAATGTATACAGGTAAAGTATTTCATGTTGATATTTTTAATTGAATCCAAAAGTGGCATGGTTGGAATTTGACAATTTTGTCCCTAACATGGGTAATTTATGGTGTTTCAATATTTTAACAGAATGTACAGTGAGCTAATATCAAGCAGCATTGCAGAGGGAGGGCCCTTTGCATCAAAAACATCATATGTGAAACTTCTGCGGTAAAGTTGATGCATTCAGATATTTTTCTCTTTTGTTGTTCAACTTAGAGTTTCTTTTATGTTCTAATGCACTGCTTTGAAGCAGATCTGTTAAAAGAGAGACTTTAAAGCTCATTGAGACATTTTTGGACAAGGCAGAAGATCAACCACAAATTGGGAAGCAGTTTGTGCCTCCAATGATGGATCCAGTTCTTGGTGATTATGCAAGGAATTTGCCTGATGCTAGAGAATCTGAAGTTTTGTCGCTTTTCTCCACAATAATAAACAAGTATGGTATTTGCTGCTTATGACTTTTCTTTAATTGGTGGAGGATATTGTTTTCCACTGTCATAGACATTAAGGCACTGTTTTCCACTGTCGTGGACATTAAGGCACTGTTTTCCACTGTCAAGTGTGCAAGGAATTTGCCTGATAAGAATTAGGGCATTTTTGTCCATAAATACAAATAATTATGTATAATCCCATAGCACCCCAAACATTGGATTAGATACTACTATATAGTCTAATATTATCAAATCCAATCCAGTCCTGTCGTCTTTATCTTGTACTATCCAAGCATCTCTCCATGCCCACCTCTTAATAGAACAGTGCACTTGCCAGATGTTATCTCCGCTAAAGAATAAAATGAATAAAAGTGAAGAAAACAAAAGGAAAAGAAGGACTTTAATATTTGTTTATTTCCCTGATGCTGCATGTACATGTTAAATGAAGGATATATTGTCAAAAAATGCTTGATGTTTGGAATGTTTTATCTGCACTCGGTACCTCTGAATATGTGTAATGTGGCTCCGCTAAAAAGGATATTTCAAAGCCTTTGGTGCTTGTTTATTCACTTAGGTGCTGATGCAACTTCTTATGCTATTTATATTTCATTTTCATGTTTATACTAATGTTCCAGTATGTTTGCTATATCATTTATACACCATGAAGTGCAAGAATTGGGTGGAGACAATTTTCTTTCTGTAAATGTTCTAATAATTTTCTTTGAAATTTTATCTCTCTTACCATGTTGATTAATATTATTTTTTTTTTCACTTTTATATCATATATTCTTTATGTTTCTTATTGGCTTTTGCTTGTTTTATGCATTAAGGTATAAAGCTGCAATGGTTGATGATGTACCCCGAATATTTGAAGCTGTTTTCCAATGCACATTGGAGGTAAGAATGTTTGATTAAATAACTTTGATATATTTTTTTTCTCTCCATTGTTTGCCAAGGGATATGTTTAATACACTCCACTTTTTTTTTGGCAAACAACTACGCTCCTTGTGTTTGGTTTGATTAAAAAAGTGGGGGATTCAATTCTAACCTTCTAAAACCATGGAATTAGTTAAGCCTCATTCAATGCCATCAAATTTTGATGGAATTTGGAAATAAATTCCACACTTTTTAATGAACTCATTACTCACTCAGCATTACGGGTATTTTAGGAGAAAAATAATATTGACTTAAATTCTTTACTTCCAAGCATAAGAATTCATTTGTAAATGAATTCCATAGTGAATTCATTTTTAAAACAGAATTGTTTTCCATTTTCATTTATACCAAACACTTAAAATTTTAATAAACTACATTTGCCCTCATTTCTAATTGAATTCTCAAGAGAATTCATTTGGAAATTAAATGAATTCTATTACATTTTCAAACCAAAGGAAAGGTTTTAGTTTTTGAATGGCATTGAACATTTCTGGAACTGTTGTAATTCACAAGTAATCAGGTGTATGGGAGTGCTCAATTCTAGAATATTTTAGGTTTAATGACAGTGACATTTTTTTTTTAAAAGAAGAGAGAAAACAGAGAATTTGAGGGTGTCCAATCAATGCCACGTGAGAAAAACCTACATTATTGCTCACCCGTATTATGACTTTAATTGGATGACTTGATTTTTTGTATTCTATTAAGAAAATGAATGATTCTTTATTTGTTGGCTTAGATTTTTCTGTTTTTAAAGAAATAAAGATTGTATTTATATTTTATTATGCTTTAGCAAATACAATAGATTCTATGATACTAGGTAGTAATTTTCTTTAGCAAAAGTTTGAATAACACTTCATTCTTTTGTTGATCTCCAACAATGTCTTAGAACAATGTCTTAGCTACCATTGTCTTGCAGATGATAACCAAAAATTTTGAAGACTACCCAGAACATCGCCTCAAATTCTTTTCATTATTACGTGCCATTGCTACGCATTGTTTTCCTGCGCTTATTCTGCTGTCCAGTCAGGTTGGTGTTTAATGTTTCTTGTCAAGTCATTAATTCTTAAATCCTTTTCAGCATACATTTCATATCCATTGACTTTGCTTAATGACATAGGTATTTCCTTTTTGTTTGTACTTTTTTCTGACTAGGCTCCTTTTTTGTAATTATTAAATATAATAATATTGATTTATAATTGAAGTTAATTTTTAATTAATGAATATAAAAGTCATTTTAAACACATTAATTTATTAAACAGATATTTAACTTTTATATCAATTAATTTTTTTTTAAATAAACATGATAGAGCACTTCATCAAATCTTCACTAATTTTTTATTGTTGCATATATAACTATTGCAATTATCTCTTGTTTACCACAATGTCTCCTTTCTTCCTGCTTATGTTAGAAAGTTGTATTTATCTATTTATTTGTATTTTCCCTTGTTTGCTCTCTATATTAATAATTTGTTTATTATTATTCTTTCTCCCCTTATTCTCGCACTATATTGATTTTGTAGTCACTCCTTGCACCTTTAATTCTCTCTACCTTTATGTATATAAGGCATGTCTAAGTCAAAGTAGGCATAACTTTTAAGCATTATTACATTAGTGGTTACATAGCATTACTTCATTTCTTATTAATGTTTCCTGTAACACCATCTTTTTAAGTTAGCCCCTCATATTTTCTTACTATATTTATTACTTTAAACTATATCCACCATCGCTCTCCCTTTTTATATTTTATATTAATAATTTGTGTTATTAATCTTTCATTTCTTTACTTATCCTCCCATTCTTATTGTTCTTCTTTAGTCGCCCCTTGCATCTTTATCAATTATTATATATCTTGTTATATATCATTGGATATTTTCTCAGTATTATAATAATATATAAATATCTTAAAATCACAAATAATTCGATAATATATATGCAATAAAGTTACACACATATCACAAAGTTATAAGTTTTAACCAGTATAAGGTAAAGAGCATACATTGTTTCCCTCCTTTTTCCACTTTATACTTGTAATTTATTTGTTATTGTTCTTTCTCCTATTATCATCTCATCTATATCGATCTTTCTTAACCATTCCTTTATATCTTTATTTATCAAAATATCTCTTTTTTTATGCCATTTTTTTCTTCTTAGTACTATTTCACTTACTTATGCTTTGCATTTCGTTAACTTTTCTTTATACTCCATTTCTCAACTTATTCTCTCTCATTTTAACATTATATTTATCTATCTACTTTAGATTCACCCTTATTCTCTTTCTCTCTCTCTCTCTCTCTCTCTATATATATATATGTATGTATGTATATATGTATAAGAATTTGTTATTAATCTGTCTTTATCCTTATTTCCTTTAATATTATTCTGTCTTAGTCCTTCATTGGATCTCTATTTATTTTTATATACCATTTTTACCTCAATTTCTCTCTCTCCACCCTCCCTTGTATTCTGTATATTAAAATTGTTTACTTGTTTTCCTTAATGAATATATTAATGCATGTATTGAAACCTGGTAATGGTTCTTTATTGTTTTCATTATTTTTTTGATGTATAGTTTAGAATTTTGATAAAGAGAATGCCAAAACATTTTAGGTTCTATGTAAAGGCTCTTTCTTTATTTTAAAGTTCCTTGTGAGTGCTCTTATTTCCTGTCTATGCTTTGGTGATTTGTTTACAACTCATTTTGTACTTTTCAAATTGGTCTTTCAAGTTGATATAGTTATGATTAACTTGATACATATCGGTTGTAAGTGTTACAATTTGTTACATGTATTACATATATAGTTATTCATAATTCTTGATGTTTTAGTAATCATTGTTAAAAATATGTTTATCCAAAATTATTTACAGCGGAATTATTTACAATTTTTATAATATAGTAAAATAAAATATAATTGAAATAGTTGGAGTCAGATTGAAGTATAATTGTGTTAAAAAATATTTTTATTGAAAATATAATATTGAGGATGTGTATAGAAAGACTGTTATTGAAAACGTATAATTGAGTTTGGATTTTAAAACACTCATTTTGTATTTATTTGGTATTTATTGAATGTTTTAAAAGGCAAGATTAAGATTTTAAAAGACCAATTGAGTATTTATTCATGATTTATTGAAGAATTTAACAATTTTTATAACATTTTAAGAAATTACTAGACTATCTTATTTCAGCTATTATTCTTTATCTTTTCTTAGTGCTTTTTTTTTTTTTTTTCAATTTCATCTATTA